GTATAAAACAGAACGATCTGGTGCTCTCTGACAAAGTGTTTTATCGACATACTGCAGGTAATAGGCAGGCAGGGGGTGCAGTGTGGCATTATGTTGTCTGTGACTGATTTATAGAGGCAACAAACTCTCTGTAAGTCTCCGTCTTACATCCTCTCATGTAGTTTTACAGAAGTGACATTGATCCAGGCCGTCTTTGATCTTGCTCTTAGCTGTTGCTCCTTCTCGCTATCTTTTCTCTTCCTGCTCCCCGGTGGCCACACTCGGGTGCTTTTAACCTCAACTACCCCTTGTCTCATCCTATAAATCCTCCCGTCCTCCCTTCCATCTCTTGCATCTCTCCATCTCGCTGATGGATCTGTGTCTGGAAGTGTTGGTCAGAAAGCCCCACCGCTCAGCTGCTCTGCCGATGATGTCTCTCACTCCTTCGTTCAGCTCCTGTTATCATGTGCTTCAACAACAAAAAAATATACAGTTTATATAATTACAGGTGATTCAAGTCAAAAACAGAAGAGGGGAAAATTAACCAACACATTTAGAAAAATTTGTCCCAAATCTGCATCTGGCCTTTTATTTTATTGGAGTTTTTAAACAATAAAATATCCGCCCCTCTCCAAATAATCACTTCATGGGTTGAAATAAGAGAATCGATCTTTGTTCATGCACCTTTAGACAAATCTGTTTTGATTTTAAAATATTTATCATATTCTTTGTCCTAAAGCAGATTCATAGAAAATGACAATACTACTGTGTGACAGTTACAGCTTTAAAAAAAAAAAGTCTAAAATTTGGATTATTTTTATCATTAAAATATTTATTTCCTGCCGTATTTGCTCATTCCATAGCTTTAAGAACTATAAGAATAAAACCATAATTCCGTTGGTTGTATTTGACGAGAGATAAAATATGTAACTAATTAAAAGATATAACGCTTTTATTTTCCATTTTGTTATCTTTAGCAAGCAAATTTTGTTTATTTCATGTTTAGTTTTTGAATTATGTTGATTTTTTTCTTGCATTTTTTTAAGATTATCAGCATCTTCAACACGCTAAAATTTTACAACTTACCAAAATATAGTCTAATAAAATACTTTATTTTGCTAAAACCAAACAAACATTTAACAAACTGTTTGGTGTTAATACCATCAATTTGTCTGAGTCTAAATCTTAGTCTCAAAAAATACGTCAGTATGTATTAAGTAATGAGTCAATCTGCTGATGTTAAAGTTTTATTAACAATTAGCCGTGCCTCTGTATTTAAAATACAAAACAGGAAAAGGAAGATGTAACTTAGTTCTTTTAATCATATACACATTTTATGTATATTTTTAAGTGCCCACGTTGTCTTACTTTTTTGTAATAAATCTTTATTTAAGTTCAGAAATTATGACAATTATTAGGATTATTTTAAATCACATTAGCAAAGACTTGCAGCACAGACTTGGTTACACTGTAGTTACATCAGATTATATCGCAGTTAATCCAGGTTCTGTTCGTACACTAACAGAATCTGCTTTGTACAAATGTCTGAAGATATACACTAAATATGTCTCTCAAAACTTGTCAACACGGACTGAATGTTTTACAGATTTTATCCAAAAAATATTTTTTGATTTTTTATATTAAGTAATTTTATTGTCCCTTTCAAGTTAAAACACCAGTATAATGAAAATATGTCCTGTTTTAGACCTCTGTGATTTTTGATTTTGTAGCTAGTTTGTTTTAACGAATATTTTGGACAAGCTGGACTATTAAGGAGCATTTTGTGTCGTCTTGAAGAGCGTTGCTCAAAAACCGAAGCTTTACAACTAAAAATTGTTTGTTTGGTTTGTTTCGAACGTGTTAATTAAACAATCATTTTAAGAAAAGAACAGAGAAACAAAAGATAAAAAAGAACCTAAAAGAATAAATAGTTAAAATTTAAAAGTGCACAAATATCGCTACACTTTTTACAGCTCGCATGTAGATTCTTATTTAATCCCACCCTTTCACCATTACTTATCTATTTCTACTAATCTAATTCCTTATCAATACAATCACAGATGGAAATAATACAATATTTAAATGCTATTTCTTAAAACAGGCTGTCAATTAACCCACATTGTGTCATAACTCTCACAGTGTGGGTGCAGGTTCATCTGATGGCCACATATTTATATTTGAAAATATAATATATTGTGGATTATTGATAATCCACTCATCAGGATTTCAGTTTTCATCAGTTTGATACTTTGTGCAGCTGCAGTGCAAATGAAGTTTCTGCTTATTTGAGCGTCGGAGTCATTTACCATCAGGCCTGTAGGAATATTCTCCTAAATGATGACCTGATTGCATTTTTATTGCTCTCCCTCTCTACGATTTAATCCTACTTTGAAATTTGTCACGTCGAATTAAGGATTAACCGTGACTCAAAACTGAACCACATTATGCCGAGACTCATTTTTACAGTGTATTTCAGCTCACGCCTGTGTTGTGTGTGTGTGTGTGTGTGTGTGTGTGTGTGTGTGTGTGTGTGTGTGTGTGTGTGTGTGTGT